TTATCATTCGGAATGTTTTCGGAACTTAGTAATATATTGTCTTTAGTTTTCCCAGGCTTTGTTTTCGGTTGGGGAAGATTATTATAGGGACATCTTTCCATTAATTTATTTACCATCTATGCAAGTGGAAATTGTTTTCTTGCAATGATACAAAAGATACAAACTAAATATGATACATTTCTATTGCATGCTAAATGCATTTTCTTGTGATTGTTACAAAATCAAATATATGAAAACCAAACAGTTTAGTACAAATTCCATGCAATTCCCTGAATGCATTGAATATGTTATCTATCATGTGAAACTATACATATATTGTATGCAACTATAAATATAAATGACTGAACAAAAAGTTTCATTATAAATTATCTGTATTGCACTAATATGATATTTATTATATATGATTTATCATATATAATTTATCATAGAAAGATATATGTAGAGAAAAAGAAATACAAGGGAATATGAATTACATAAAGTAAGTTGTAAGTCTAAAAGGAATTAAGTTATTATGAGAGAAATAAAATTCCCAACACCTTGTAATGTAAAAAGCAGATGAAGTGTTCCCTATCACCAGATATTCCCTGAAGTATATGTTAAAAGTGTTAGTTTTGGTTAATAGAAAAACAGAAAAAACGTAAGACAAAACGAAAATATGTAAATTAGCTGTAGATGTTGGGGTACAAATTCATAGATTTTCTGTTCATAAACATACTTTTGAATCTGTTGTAATACTATAACATACATATGTATATTATAATACTTATATGTATTTATATATTACAATGTTTATAAGTAACGTTTTGAGATCAATATATAGTATGTTTAAAAACATCACCCTACCCCTGTTAGCAATTGCCCTTTTAAATTACATAATATGGATTTGTAAATCAGACGCTAACACTTACCTTAGCCATTTTTTCAAAATATAGTCTTTCTGCTTTGTCGTATGATGGCTTATCAAACCATACTTTTTCTTGTGCTAATGCCAACTTTTCCATTTTTAAACAGTTTTATTTA